AAAGGCTGGTAGATCTTCGAAGTCATACTATTTAGTTCATGAATTTGCAACAAACGGCCTTGTTTGGGAATTCTCACTTAATAAAGGCTGGTAGATCTTCGAAGTCATACTATTTAGTTCATGAATTTGCAACAAACGGCCTTGTTTGGGAATCCTTTGGGTGAAGGCTGTACAGATGCTATTCTGAGAAAGCTGTGGCTCCAAGGCCTGTAAAAAATTTGTTCCACTGTCATCGTCAATAATAAAGAGACCAATCCAGGTCCACATGAAATGCCGGAGCAACTGGATTATCCCCATATATTGATGAGCTTCACTTGGAACCAAATGATGAAAGGAAGCCACTTTCATTGCATCACTCTCTTCCAAGGCAAATGAGCCATAGGTGAGCTGAAAGGGAAATTAACCGATATTTTATGGATTTGGTGAGAAACAAGGTGATTACTTCAGTGGCTTTTTATATAATGAATAATAGGCCACCTAGAATCTGAGTTAGTATCCCCATCTTTCCTAGGTTAAAGGCACTGTGGGCTAAAATATGAAACAGCATAAAAGATCCAAGAAGATTCTCCTGCTAGAGTTCTCCTGGTGGTGGGCTTATCATCTGAATTGGAAGAGCTGGAGATGTATAAAAGTGTCTCACTGTTTTATGATAAAGGTTTAATTGATATGTTTGAGAAGGTTAAAATAACAGCAGCTTGGGATGTCTATCAAGCATGTCCCTTAAATTAATCATCCTGGTGGATTGATTATACTGAACTTAAGAATTTAGGGGTTCTGTATTTAAACTAATTAAAGTGAGGCTCTTGTGCCATTTGGAAAGGAAGACAACTGAATAATTGCAACAAGAGCTCTTGAGGAGTATTCATGTCTCCTCAGTGCACTCCCTTTTACATTTCTTCTCCCTTCACTGGAAGCCAGTAATGGAGCAGGGATCATGGCAAGAACAGACAGAAAAATGGATCAGAGGCTGGCTAGTGCCTTTGAAGGACCACCTCTTGGGAAAACTACAAAGAATCATGGATCAGAAAGGTCTATTTAGGACATCAGGTCCAACCCGCTACTCAGTGCAGAGATCCACATTTAGATATCCTGTTATACAGCTGTCTGGCTGTCAAGACTTGAAGGGGAATCCATCACTTTTCTAGACCATTCCTTCCCATGTCAAACTGCTCTTACTGTAAGGAAGACTTCTTTTCATCCTAATTTTTTTTTTCTAATCCCCCTTCCTGCATCTTCAATTCATTATTCTGTATCTTACACTCTGCAATGAGGGAGACAGGTCATGGCTGACTTGCACAGATTTTACCTGTGGAATTTTGTAGAGACCCAAAATATCTGACATATGGAAAGAGGTATCAGAACCTAGTCCACCAATGACTGTGATTACATACTTTTTGGTACCACATTGGTAGTTAGGGGCAAAAATATAAGAACTGAAAAGCAGGTCTAGGATGGTCCGATAGGTCATCCTTGCATCGTAGTAGCTATCGCAGATATGGAATCCAAGAGTGATGTTAGATAAGATCTGAGGATCTTCATTGATCTCCTTCACAGCAAATGCCAAGGCCAGGATGTGCTGGTAGAACTTGGTTACTGCTCTAAAAATAGAGGATGATAGTTAGGGTTATATTAGCAGCTTTTATCACTGAGGGAAAACAAACTCAAAGTGGCTGAGAATTGGAGAATCCAAGAAAGTAAACAATGAACAGATATCCAACCAAACACAGTACTGGAATTGTTTTGAAATCTATAAATGTAAGTTTAGGCCAGAGAGAGGTAACCTGTGCTTTCTAATTGTTTGGGGTTACCATTCTGACAGTCCCTTGCAATCTCCTACGCTAGCAAGAATTGTTGGGGATTGAAGTCCATAATAGTGAAATTCCTCCCTGAAAACATGCAGCTCTTAAGAATTGAATATGGAAGCTTCTATATGCAAGTAAGGGTGTTGTGGGTCCTAATGTTAACTAACACTTGTCATGGGCTACTACTGTAAAGGCTGTGTTCGTTGCTACATTGACTTTCTCCATAGGGAAGTTGAAGTTAGCATTTCAAACAAGGTGATTGCATCTAAACTTGTAGGACTAATATGCATTTAAGAAATACATCCATGTTGAATATATTGAAAAAGTAATATACTATGAAACAAATGAAGAAACAAATACCTACATTTGTGATTCGATATTTCTTTCTAGATGAATTTTCCCACTAGTGACTTAAAGCATCTTCAAGGCCTGTTAGCATTATATTATTTTGGCACAATGATGGTTGGGTGACTCTAGAATACACCATAAATTACTAGGGCGAAAGTGATAGATTGAATAGGTTGATTAAAAAAAAAAAACCTTAATTCACTGTTTTTCTGCTCATTGTTTTCCATCCAGAACACTTAAAATACTGATATATTGGCCTCTTATTATTTCAAAGTGGATATATTCTCCAACCACTTGAAGTGAATTTTCCACACTTCCTCCAGGAATATGCTACTTCCAGAACTGATTTCGGTAATGCCGAAAAGCAAAAAGAATACATTCTTACATTGGAAGTTCAAAGCCCAACTTCTGAGAAGGGTGCACATCAAAGGAAACCATGGAGAATATATAAATGATCTGAGAAACTATGCCACCAATGGTGAGGTCTCCAGGCTGAAACCATTTATGCGGTACATGGAAGGGCTGATTTCCAAAGCATTTCACACTCTGTACTTTGCATGCAGCATTGGGTAGGAGAAAGAGTAGCATGATTACAAACATTGCTATTGGTGAACAATGCTTCCTTCTAGAACAGATTATTCTGCAAGCAAACACCTGTCTAAATTTAAAGAAGTTCCTTTGCATGGGTGTCTTCAAGTCAGTTTGCGACTCCTGGACAAGTCCTGGACAAGTCCCCGCAGTTTTCTTGGCAAGATTTTCAGAAGTGGTTTGCCATTGCTTCCTTCCTAGGACTGAGAGTGACTGGCCCAAGGTCACCCAGCCGGCGTCATGCCCAAGTGGGTCTAGAGCTCCCAATCTCCCAGTCTCTAGCCTGATGCCTTAACCACTACACCAAACTGTCTACTTTGAGCGGAAGCCAATTCAAAAACCTGAATGTACCCATGTTGGTATCTATTGGTTTAGAGAAGCCAAGAAAATTCTTTTTAAACCAGGAATACAGCACAAAAAGGTTGAATCTCAGACTGAGAGAGCCTTGCCTACATCTTAGCCCAGCTGGGAATGCTACAAATAGGTGGGTTTATATATCAATTCTGAATTTTGCAAATAGCTTGTTAAAGTCTTTTTCTCTCATCTGCTCTGGAAAATCACTGGAGGTTGTCAAGAAGAATCTATTTGTTTGGATAATTGCAGAGAGAATTATAATAATCCCAATGGGTTCTCAGGAAGACCGTTAGGAGTAAAGTAAGCGCTGCTGACTGTTTTTCTACCACAATAAAGCAATTGGCTAAGAACTTTCAGATTAATGGAGGAAACCTTCCAGAAAGAAGTTTGAAGTTATCATGAAGATGAAAAAGCTCTGGATAATAATAAACTTTCCTCTTTCTAACCTCAGTTACCTCCTGGACAATTATCACGGATAAGTTCAAGTGACCAGAGTAAGCTAATAAGAAGGAGGATGAGGTTCAGAAGTAGCTGACCTAAAATTCCCAGAACCCCTAACCATTGGTCATGCTTGATTGTTAGGAATTTGGTTTACTAAGATCTATGACCAGTGTAAAAAGCAAGAGTTATTTCCTTTTTAAAATGTGAAACCTGAATTGAATAGACTGGTGGTGGGGGTGGTGGGGATGGGGGCTTAAACTCAAGGGTCCACTAAACTGAATATGCTAGCACTGAAGATGTTACATAGCCAGGTAATGAAACGTATGCAAGAAAACAACCAAGCCCAGAGAATCCAAGGACTCCTCAAAGTGAATATCACAAGGTTTGTGTCAATTTACTCATGGTATAATTCTACTTGCATCAGCCAAACTACTATACTGTACTTCTGGAGAGTTGCCAGACTTGGGATGTGGCAGCATTGTACTACAGGTAGTCCTCGTTTAGTGACCATTCACAGTTACGATGGTGATGAAAAAGACTATTTAAACAAATGCTTGCATTTATGTCCTTCACAGGTCTGTATAGCAAAGGAAAGCCGAAGTAAGATCATAAGCACAATCATGGTTTCATTTAGCAACCACTTTGCTGAAGAACTGAGTTGCTGGTCCTAATTGTGGTTGCCAAACAAGGACTACATGTATAGTGATTCCACTTCTACTTGGATGGCGATTTTTAGAAGGTAGTGCTGGGGGATTACTCTTTCACCTCATGGTGGTTCGGTTATGGAGTCCCTCAGGGCTTTTATGGCCTAAAGGTTGTAATTAATTTGAGTCCCTCAGGTCTCCATTTGATCTCCTGTGCTCCTTAAGATCTACATGAAGCTGCTGCAATAGGTCATCCAAGGATGTGGGATGAGGAACCATCAATATGTTAATGGCACCCAGCTATACCTTTCCGGTTCATCTAGCACAGGTGAGGCTGTTGGCATTCTTAAACAGCACTCAGGTAGGATAATGGACTAGATGAGGGCCAATGTACTGAGACTGGTTTTGATCTTAAAGCCCCAAACAGCATAGGACCTTCTCCCATTTGTATCTACTTGGACTTTAACATCATCTATGAGGCCTCCTCCAGGTCTCCTGACCAAAGGAATGAGGTGGGCTCTACAAGGAGGAAAGCTTTGTCTGTGGTGGTACTCTATTGATGGAATCCCCTCCCAGGATAGACTCCACTGGCCCTCACATTAGAATCATTTTGGCACTGGGTGATGACTTTTCTATTTCCCTAGGCTTTAAATTGGGTTTTAATTATGTTTTAATTTATATTGCTTTAGTTTTTGAATGACTACCTTGCTGCTGCCTAGTTTATATGATGCTGTTGTTCTTTGATTTTACTCTATATACCGAATTTTTATCCTGCTTGTATTTTTTAGTATGCTTTCTTGTAGACTTCCCAGAGAGTTTTGCCAGTTGGGTGGTTTAACATTTTAATTAATTAATTAATTAATTAATAAGGATACTATGGAATTTGTCCATTATTTTGAGATGAGGATACTTTTTTTTTTCTGTTGTATTCAAAGTCTGCTAACAGAAATCTATTAAATCCCACATTTCTTGTAGAGTCCTTTCCACAGCATTTCTCCCTTATACTTTGCTAAATTTATAGGCTGGCTTTCTGTATTAGCGTAATTTCAAATAACAGGCAAATTAACTGCTGGGGGTTTCTTTTTCTAATGTTTTTCCCAATATATGCGCAAGCATTCTCTTCTCTTCAGATGGCTTAGAAGTGATTCCTGATATTTATTTTAACTTCTTTTTCTTTCCCTGTTTCAGTTGCTTCTTCCCAGACTATGGTCCTGACCAGAGGGGGACAAAAGAAAACTGGAAAAATGTTACATTTGACTTCCACCATATCTGGATTTTTTCTAAGAGAGAACCGGCACATCCATTTGCAATGTCACCCTCTTGGGAAAAGGATGGAATGGATGGAGATTATTTCAAGCAGTGGAAATAGTCAAGCTAATATTGCTCTCCAAAACTGGGTTAGCCTTATAAGAGATGTCTCAAAACATCAGGTGTTTCTGCACCTAACCAAACTCCAAGTAGATGATCGTCTATATTATTGCTCGAGAGAGAAAAATGCACACTAAGAAACCTATCCCAGCTGCAGCACAAAAACTGTTCTTCCAGTGAAATAAACATTGCAGCTTTGTCATTCTGCAACTGCTAGAAACAGGATGTGTTTTAACCCTCTGCTGCTAAAGTGTGAACCCTTGCCACATTCACAGGCTTATGTTTTTTTTAAAACTGATTGACCTTTCCTTTCCTTTCCTTTCCTTTCCTTTCCTTTCCTTTCCTTTCCTTTCCTTTCCTTCCCTTCCCTTCCCTTCCACACGTGGGACTAGAACTCATGAGAGCCAATTTGGTATAATGGTGAAGGTGCCTAGAAACCAGGAGACTGTGAGAGACTTTGGGCCAGTGGCTCTCTCTCTCAGCCCAGCCCGCCTCACAGGGTTTTTGTTGTGGGGAAAATAGGAGGAGGCAGGAGTATTAGTATGTTCACCCCCTTGAGTTGAGCAAATTGAAAAAAAAATGGGATAAAAATATGATGATGATGATGATGATGATGATGATGATGATGATGATGATGATAACCACTACAGCAAACTTTTTTTTTTTGAATTGAGCTTTTATGCTATCAAATGCTTTGTATACATAAGTCCACAACTGACTTGATAAAAAACCATAAGGAAAGTCTGCAGTGAGTTTGGAGAGATGGATCTAGTCATCTGTCAAAACCATCTGCCAATCACAGCCATGTTATTTATTCTTTATTCTTGTTGGGGGGGGGGGTCACGTAAATTAATTTTTCATGAATTAATGGAGAGTTGCAGTATTGCAAAATTTGAGAATCATTAGTAACTTTTTTAGCATCTTGTAGAGTCATCCAAACATTGCTGTTCCAATGATGTCCACATGGCTGGGTGACACTAGAAGATGTTCTGAATCACTAGTGAGGAAAACCTTTTTTTTTCGGTGCATCACTTCTTCTCCAATTCCATTTCCTCCTCTTTCTCAGGCCTTTAATGGTAGAACAAAACTATTTGCATTATTTCCTGTCAAACTCCAGCATTTAAATGCATTTCACGTGTCATGCAAGACTGATTGGTTGCATAATGCATCATGAAGAAATTCATGTACATATGGAGGTCAGTGAAATTTTTGGAGTGAAAATACTGATTCTTCTTTTAGATGATGGAAGATTCCAGAATTGTGCCATATGGAACTATTGGAGCTGTAGAAGACAGTAACATACAGGAATCCAGGGGCCAAACTATTTCACCTAACTAGGCCTGGAGGCCTTCAGAAGAGCTTCCCTCAGTATCTTAAAGGCATGAGTGCAAGAAATAGTGAGACTTGTGTGACTGTGGCAAATGTATTATTAATTTCATTGAACAGAATTTTATTATTATTTTATCATTATTTATTGATTAGTTTATTGTTATTATCACCTAACTAGACCCAGAGACCTTCAGAAGAGCTTCCCTCGTACCTTCAAAGGCATGAGCACAAAAAACAGTGAGACTTGTGAAACTGCAGAAAACATATTATTTAATTTCATTGAACTGAATTTTATTATGCGGGTTAATAGCAAAGCTCCATGCATACTGGAAATACTGGAAATCTTGCTGCCATGTTGTGAATCTGTGTCCTTACTGAACCAGTGTTCTTCTCATATATCTCATGATTTCAATCTGCGCATGAAACTAACTTTTCCTCTAACCCTAACCCTAACCCTAACCCTAACCCTCTGTGGCTGGCACCAAGGCTGCTTTGGTCGATAGGCCTAGAAATATAAACTCTCATGTCTGCTGGCCAGAAGGACGCCACAGGAGCATAACCAATACACAATTCTTCAGACATCTATCTATGCTTTTGGGTCTTTTCCAGGGTAACGACCCTGTAATTTGGCTGTAGATGTTTCCTCAGCCTCAGCTTTGAAAACAAGAGCACTTCCAGGCCTTTGACAGTTGGACTCCCCAAGAGACCTTCTCACAGAGTTCTCCTTTCGCAGCTAAGAGAGCTTGAATTTCCCCCTGCATTTCCTGACATGTAAACAGAATGGCTTTGAGGACGTACAAATATTCGATTTATATCTCTAGAATCACAAGTTACTTTTTCCAGCTGCTGAAAATGTGGATCTGTAGCTATGGCTGGCATTCAAAACCTTGCCAGTGTGAATAAATGCACATTTTAAAGGATAACACACATACACAA